AGCCTCAGTCTGCCTTCAGCCTCGGCCTCAGCCTCAGCCTGCCTCAGCCTCAGCCTGCATCAGCCTCAGCCTGCATCAGCCTCTCAGCCTCAGCCTCAGCATCAGCCTGCCTCAGCCTCAGCCTCAGCCTGCCTCAGCCTCAGCCTCAGTCTGCCTTCAGCCTCGGCCTCAGCCTCAGCCTGCCTCAGCCTGCATCAGCCTCAGCCTCAGCCTGCAGCCTCAGCAGCATGCCTCAGCATTCAAAATGTGGCCCGGGAATGGAGTTCTGGGAACTCGAAGAACACGAAATGGCCTACAGTTGGCTCCGGGCATTCAAAATCATGCCCAGGAATGGAGTTCTGGGAACTCGAAGACCACGAAGTGGCCTACAGTTGGCTCCGGGCGGTCAAAATCATGCCCAGGAATGGAGTTCTGGGAACTCGAAGACCACGAAGTGGCCTACAGTTGGCTCCAGGCATTCAAAATCATACCCAGGAATGGAGTTCTGGGAACTCGAAGAACACGAAGTGGCCTACAGTTGGCTCTGGGCGGTCAAAGTCATGCCCAGGAATGGAGTTCTGGGAACTCGAAGACCACGAAGTGCGTTACTGTTTGCTAAAAACAGAGTCCCCGGCATCCTCCCCCGGATCGCGCCCAGACCCCCCTGGGGCGTCAAGATGCTCTCTTTTGACCCTACTAGAAACCTATCAGTCTTCGCTGTTAGGTAAAAAACTTGTCCTGGAACTGAGTGGAACCCATCGGTCGCCAGAAATCCACAGGGAATCTGGTGAGCTATGGGTTTGCCATGATTTGGATCCTGGACCCCGCTCGCCGCCGCGAGTTATGGGAAACCCATAGGTCGCCAGATTTCCTATGGGTTTCTGGCGACCCATGGGCTTCCCATAATTTGGAGTCTGGACCCCGCTCGCCACCGCGAATGATGGGAAACCTAGAGGTCGCTAGATACCCCTCGGGAATCTGGCGACCTATCGGTTTCCCATAATTCGGCCTGCGAGTTATAGGAAACCCAAAGGTCGCCAGAAACTTCGGAATCTGCGACCTATGGATTTCACATAATTCAGAATTGCGGGAAACCCATAAATGGACGACTGCCGTGCCCAGGCGCTCCCAAGCGGTTCCCAGCTCCCCCTGCCTCGGGCCCCGGGCCCGGCCCCGGCCCCGGCAGAACTCGAATGGTTCCCGAAAACGGCTCCCCAAACACATTTTTCTTTATTATTTCATTTGGTTTGGGGCTCTGGTGCGTCCCGAGCTCGTTTCGGACCCGGACGCGGCCGATTTTGGCCGGTCTTGGCAGATTCTACCAGATTCTGGCCGATTCGGGCAGAATTTTGGAGATGTTCTCAATTTTGGATGATTTTGGCCGGTTCGACCCCGTTCGCCGCCGCGACCTATGGGAAACCCAACGATCGCCAGATTCCCGAAAGGTTTCTGGCGACTAATGGTTTTCCCGTACTTCGGAATTTGGACCCCGCTCGCTGCAGCGAATTATGGAAAATCCAGAGGTCGCCAGATTCCCTGAGAAGGTTTCTGGCGACTTATGGGTTCCCCATGTTCTGAATCTCGGCGCCGAGTCGCCCCGGGAGCAATCGTGTATTTACAGGTTTCCCGCCCATAGGTCGCCAGAATCCCCAGAGGTTTCTGGCGACCTATGGGTTTCCTGCAGTTCGGAATCTGGACCCCGCTCGCCGCCTGCGAATTATGGGAAACCCATAGGTCGCCAGAAACATCCAGGGAATCTTGCGACCTCCGGGTTTCCCATATTTCGGAACATGCACCCCGCTCGCCGCCGCAAACCCATAGGTCGCCAGATGTCCTAAGGGTTGTGGCGACCTATGGGTTTCCCATAATTCAGAATCTGTACCCCGCTCGCCGCCGCGAATTGTGGGAAACCCATAGGTCGCCTGATTCCTTGGGGGTTTCTGGCGACCCATGGGTTTCCCATAGTTCGGTATCTCGGCGCCACGTCGCCCTGGGAGCAATCGTCTATCTACGGGTTTCCCGCAATTCCGAATTATGGGAAACCCATCGGTTGCCAGAGTCCCTGGAGGTTTCTGGCGACCTGTGTGTTTCTTATGATTCGGAACCTGGACCCGCTCGCCGCCGCGAATTATGGGAAGCCCATCGGTCGCCTGATTCCTTGGGGTTCTGGCGACCTATGGGTTTGCCATGATTCGGAACCTGGACCCCGCTCGCTGCCGCGAATTATGGGAAACCAACAGGTCGCCAGATTCCCTTAGAGGTTTCTGGCGACTTATGGGTTTCCCATAATTCGGAATCTGGACCCCGCTCGCCGCCGCGAATTATGGGAAACCAACAGATCGCCAGAAACCCTTAGGGAATCTGGCGACCTATGGGTTCCCCATCATTCGAAAGAGCCTGTTCTACCGCTGCTGGCGGAAAACCATGGGGGTCACTGGGGGTTACTACCGGTTCGACCCCCCCCCCTCGAAAACCGGGGGGGGGTCACTACCAGTTCGAACCCCCCCCCCCTCGAAAACCGGAGGGGGTCACTACCCGGTCGGACCCCGGCAAACGGTGCCCGCTCCTCGGGACAGTTGGAGAATGGTGGGGATGTTGGGACAGTGGTGCGAACGGTGGTGGTGGGGACAGTGGTGCGGGGACAGTGGGACAGTGGTGCGGACAGTGGTGCGGACAGTGGTGGGGACGGTGGTGGTGGGGACAGTGGTGAGGGGACAGCGGGACAGTGGTGGGGACAGTGGGACAGTGGTGGGGACGTTAGTGGTGGGGACAGTGGTGAAGGCGGTGGTGCGGACAGTGGTGGGACAGTAGTACAGTGAGGACAGTGGTGGGGACAGTGGGTACAGTGGGACAGTGATGGGGACAGTGGGGAGGGTGGGGCAGCACAGTGGGACAGCGGCGGGGACAGTGGCACAGTGGTGGGAACAGTGGGGACAGTGGGACAGTGGTGGGGACCGTGGGGAAGGTGGGGAGAGTGGGATTGTGGTGGGACAATGGCGGGGAGAGTGGGGACAGTGAGACACTGGTGGGGGCATTGGTGGGGACAGCGGGGACAATGTTGGGAACAGTGGGGACAGTGGGAAAGTGGTGGGGACGGTGGTGGTGGGGACAGTGAAGTGGGGACAATGGGAATGTGGTGGAAACAGTGGGAAAGTGGAGGGTACAGTGGCGGTGGCGACAGTGGTGAGGGCGGTGGCGAGGACGGCGGTGGGATAATGGAACAGAGGTACAGTAGGGACAGTGGTGGGGACAGTGGGAACCGTGGGGACAGTGGGACAGTGGTGGGGACGGTGGTGGTGAGGACAGTGGTGTGGGGACAGTGGGAATGTTGTGGAAACAGTGGGACAGTGGAGGGTACAGCGGTGATGGCGACAGTGGTGAGGGCGGTGGCGAGGACGGCGGTGGGATAATGGGACAGAGGTGCAGTAGGGACAGTGGTTGGGACTGTTGGGACAGTGGTGGGAACAGTGGGACAGCGCAGTGGTACAGCGGCGGGGAGAGTAGGACAGTGGGGACAGTGGGACAGTGGTTGGGCCCGTGGAGACAGTGGGGAGTGGAACCCCGTGGTGGGAAGAGTTGCGGGGATAGTGGGGACAGTGCGACAGTGGTGGGGCACTGGTGAGGACAGTGGTGACGGTGGTGGGACCAGCGGTGACCAGCGGGGACAGTGGTGGTGAGGACAGTGGTGCTGGGGACAGCAGTGGGGGATATTGTGCGGACGGTGGTAGGGACCCAGAGTTGTTTGCTGGCGGTGAGCGTGGGGGCGGGGGGGGGAGGGGTTCGAACCGTAGTGACCCCCCCCGGTTTTCGGGGGGGGTGTTCGAACCGGTAGTGACCCCCCTCGGTTTCGAGGGGGGGGTTTCGAACCGGTAGTGACCCCCCCCGGTTTTCGAGGGGGGGGGGGTTCGAACCAGTAGTGACCCCCCCCCCGGTTTTCGGAAGGGTTGGGAGGGGGTCGAACCTGTAGTGGACCCTCTCTGGTTTTGGTTTTCTGGGGGAGGGGGGGGGGGGGGTGGGGGGGGGGTTTTTTGCCGGGGGGGAGGGGGGAGAGGGGGGGGGTCCAGCAAGGGGGGGGGGGATTTTTTTGGGGGGGGGATGTGGGGCCCCCCGGCTCCGGAGGAAGAGGGTGTGGAATTTTCAACAGTAAAGCGGCGGTGGGTCACGCTCTCTCTATGATTCAGAACTATGGGAAACCCATAGATGGCGCTCCTAGGCACTCCCAGGCGCTCCCAGGCGCTCCCAAGCGGTTCGCATCTCTCCCGGCCTCTGGCCCCGGGCCCGGGCCCGGGCCCAGCTGAACCTGAGTGGCTCCCGAAATCGGCTCCCTGAACACATTTTTCTTTCTTATTTAATTTGGCGTTGGGCTTTGGTACGTCCCCCAGTTTCGGACGCAGCCGCTGCCGGTTTTGGCAGATTCTGGCCGATTGGGCCGATTCGGGCAGATTTTGGCAGATGTTGTGAGATTTGGGCCGATTCTGGCTGGTTTGACCCCGCTCGCCGCCGCGAGTTACGGGAAACCCATAGGTCGCCAGATTCCCGAGGAGGTTTCTGGCGACCTATGGGCTTCCCATAATTGCAATCTGGACCCCGCTCGCCGCCGCGAGTTATTGGAACACACATAGATCGCCAGAAACCCAAAGGGAATCTGGCGACGTATAGGTTTCCACGAATTCAGAAACTGGACACCGATCGCCACCGCGAATGATGGGAAACCATAGGGCACCAAATTCCCCAGAGGTTTCTGGCGACCTATGGGTTGGCCGTAGTTCGGCACACCCCGCTCGCTGCCGCGAATTATAGGAAACCCATCGATCTCCAGAAACCCTAGTGAATCTGGCGACTTCATAGGTTTCCCAGAATTCGGAACCTGGACCCCCTCGCCGCCGCGAGTTCGCAAGATGTCCGATCGGTTTCTGGCGACTTATGGGCTTCCCACAAGTCGAGATCTCGGCGCCGAGCCGCCTTGGTGGCGATCGTGTATCCACGGGTTTCCCGTCATTTCGAATTATGGGAAGCACATAGGTCGCCAGATTCCCTAAGGGGTTCTGGCGATTTATAGGCTTCCTACAGTTCGGAATCTGGACACTGCTCGCCGCCGCGAATTTTGGAAAACCCATAGGTCGCCAGAAAGCCATCAGGTTTCTGGCGACCGATGGGTTTCCCATAATTCAGAATCTGGACCCCGCTCGCCGCCGCGAATTATGGGAAATCAAGAGGTCGCCTGATTCCCTAAGGGTTTCTGGCGGCCGATGGGTTTCCCATGATTTGGAATCTGGACCCCGCTCGCCGCTGCAAACTATGAGAAACCTATAGGTCGCTAGAAACCCTTTTACTGAATCTGGCGACGTATGGGTTTCCCATAATTCGCGGCAGCGAGCGGGCGGGGCCCAGGGTTCTGGCGACCTATGGGTTCCCATAATGCGGAATCTGGACCCCGCTCGCCGCCGCAAACTAGGCGCCAAATTCCCGAGGGGGTTCTGGCGACCCATGGGTTCCCATAATTCGGAATCTGGAGCCCGCTCGCCGCCGCGAATTAGGGGAAACCCATAGGTCGCCTGATTCCCTAGGGGTTTCTGGCGACCTATGGGTTCCCCGTAATTCGGAATCTCGGCGCCGAGTCGCCCCGGGGGCAATCGTCTGTCTATGGGTTCCCCGTTTTTCCGAATTATGGGAAACCCATAGGTCGCCAGATTCCCTATGGGGTTTCTGGCGACCCATGGGTTCCTCATAATTCGCAGGCCTTCCCCACCAGGCCCCCCCTGGGGCGCGGAGACAACCGCGCTTCCCGCGCCCTGGCCCTGGTCAGAGCGGCTGTCCCTTTCCAAGGGGGCGGCTCGATGGCGCGAAGACAACCGCGCGTCGCGCATCGCGGGGCGCGATGCGCGAAGTCTTCGGGTGACCTTGACCTGGATCCTGGGCCCGCTTCCTCCACCGCCAGCACAGTTCTGTACCCGCCGCCGCTCCCGGGAACCGTGGGGTGACGGACCACCTGGTGGTGGCGCCTCGAAATCCCAGGAGACCTCGCCGCGCGGTCCGCCACCGCACGGCCTCGGGACCTCGGAGGCCCCGGTCGGCCGAGGCGTCCTCGCAGAACGGCCCGAGTCCCGAAACCGTGCGGCGCCCCCGAATCCCCGCGCACTCACCACGCCGTGTGGTCACCGCACCGTTCGGGGGCCTCCGACGCTCCCCTCGGGGCCCACCTCCTCCCAGCCTTCTGAGAAGCCGCCTCCGTCTTCGGAGAAGGCTCGGGAAGCTTCGGGTTCTTCCGGCTCCCCCCCCCACCACCTCGGGGGTTGCTGAAGGTGCCCCTGGCCCAAGGTGTCCCCAGCTTCTCTCTCCATGTTGGAGCCCCTCGGGGCCCTCCTCCCAGCCTTCTGGGAAGCCGCCCCCGTCTTGGAAGGAGACCCGGAAAGCTACTCGGAGAGCCCGAGGCCCTCTGAGTCTTCCGATGAGGCCCGCCCCCTCACAGGGGGGGGGGCACTCTGCCTCCCTCCCTCCCTCCCCCCCCGCGGCGTGCCGCCGATCCAGGGCCCGCTCCCCCTCGGGGCCCCGCCTGGCCCTCCGCCGCCGAGGTGAAGCTCGCCAGGCTGCTCCCGCAGGTCCACCCCCACGGGCCCTGCCGCGCCCGCATCGGCGCCGCGCTCGAAGGCTGGGACCCGGTGGCGGAGCCCGAGAGGCGGGCGGGGGTCACCGCGGCCGCCCGGGAGGCGTGGGCGTGCCTGCCTGGCAACTTCACCGAGGCGCCGTCGCCGTCGTCGTCGTCGCCGTCGTCGTCGTCGCCGTCGCCGTCGCCGTCGCCGTCGCCGTCGTTGCCTTGCTGTCGCTGTTGCCCTCGTCGTTGTCATCCTCGTCCTCCTCGTCGGTCGCCTTCGTCGTCGTCGTGCTCCTCCTCGAGCCTCTCTCGCTGAGGCCTCCTTCAGCACCCCGTACACCGAGGAGGCGATAGACAGTCTGGCGAAGGCCCAGTGGGCGCGCATGCCCAGCGTGAAGCAGAGGCTTGGCGGCGCGCGCACAGAGGGGGGGCGGGGCGCGAGGGGGGAGGTCTTTGAGAAAGCAGGGGGGGGGGCTCTGGGAAGCCAGGCGGTTTCTCAGAGGCCATCCGGGCTTCTGTCGAGGAGCAAAGAATTGCATTGACATACATGTGCCGAGGTCCGTGCTGATTTCTTGGATCGGCGTTGGACCCCCTCCTTGGCGCGCGGAGCGCGCCAGGGGCGGCGCCGGAGGCGCCGCCAGGGGGGTCTAGCGCAGATCCGAGAAATCCGTGCGGACCGTCGACAGTTTATGTTTATGCCGTTGCTTCTTCCTCTGCGGTGAGTGCGTTCGTTAAGGAATGTGCCCAGGAGGCCTCAGATCCTGAAGGATGCCTTATCCAATGAGGGCGGCGTCGATGTCGATTGCCACTCCACGATTGGAGCTCCACCGGCTTCCAGTTCCTGGAGTCCTTTGTCCAATGGTTCCTTATCCAATGCCCTCACCGTATCGTCAGTCCAGTTGGCCACTTCACCCTCTCAGTAGGTACGTCTGTTCCTCGCCAATGGCACTTCTGGGCTCCCTCACCCTCTTTCCCCCCTCCTTCTGCGTTTGCCATCGCGGACCCCAGTCACTGTGTTCTTGCGCTCTCGATCCTGTGCAGCCCTTAATCTACCCAGTAGTTCACTGTATCCAGGCCCTCTTGAAAAGGCCCCTGCCTTCCGAGAAGCTCCCCAACCTCCTTGGCAGGCCGCCCGCACCCCTCCGCCCCCCCCCCCCTCCCCCTTCCCCTTCCCCTCCGCCTTCCCCCTTCCTCCTCCGCCTCCCCCTCCTCCTCCTTCTCCTCCCCCTCCTCCTCCTCCTCCTCCTCCTCCTCCTCCTCCTCCTCCTCCTCCTCCTGCTCCTCCTGCTCCTCCTCCTGCTACCCCCCTTGCGTGCGCCGCCACGAGGCTCGGGGCGTGCGAGGGCAGCCAGTGGCCCCGCACGTGCTCCTACTGGTCCGCGATGCACACCATGGCGCACAGGCAGAGGAAGAACCAACGGCACGACCGTAAACTTTCGGAGCTCTTCGCGCGGATTTCCTGGACCTGCGCTGGGCCCCCCCCCTGGCAGCGTCTCCGGCGCCGCTCGTGGCGCGCCCCGCGCGCCAGGGAGGGGGGGCCCAGCGCGGATCCATCTTCCCCTCACAGGGCGGACCAGCTCGAGCTCGGCGCCCAGTTCCTGGGCGCCGTCATGCCCATTCTGGCTGGCGGCGCAACGCTGTGCGGGGGGTGCCCGGGGGAGAGGAGGATCATGCCGATAGCGCTGCGCCAGCCCCCGAGTCCTCGTCCGCGCCGTCATCGTCCTCGTCGCCGTCGCTGTCCCAGAGATCTGAGGGTCCGGAAAAAATCGGAGCGGCATCGTTGTTTCCCTTTTTCGTCTTCAGGGGCCCTCAACGGGCCCCAGGACTGTCAGAAAGTATTCAGGATGAAGACCCCGCCCTATGTGGAAGTGGGCCAGACCTCTGGAGGTCCACGCATCGAAAAGGTTGAAACGCCAGATGTCTGGATCGTCATTCACCTTCTCGCCCTCGTCATCTCGCCCGCTCGGCAGGCCGTTGACCTCTCAACTGGGGACATTGTTGCCAGACGCCGTCGTAGAGTGGTTCGGCAAGGATTTGGGACTTTCTTGAGGACGCTCCGCCTCTCCCCCGCAGCGTGGAGTTGCTGCGCTGCCGGTGGCCCGCGGATGGCGTCGCCGAGGCAGGCTTCCCCTCGAGACGCTGGTCGGAGCGCACCCGGGGAGAGGTCCGCGGCGCCACGCCTCCCTCGGCGCCGCGGCCGGATTTCCCCCCCCCCCCCTGGCTTGGCATCGCTCGGACGTGTGCATTTTTCCTTCGGCGAGGACCATCGAGGAGCATCCTTCATCATTTGGCGAAAAAACCACACACACACACACACACACACACACACACACACACACACACACACACACACACACACACACACACACACACACACACACACACACACACACACACACACACACACACACACACACACACACACACACACACACACACACACACACACACACACACACACACACACACACACACACACACACACACACGAAACCGAAACAAAAACACAGGGAATGGACGTCCGAGCGATGGCCAGCTGGGGGTGCTGATGAGAACACTCCCCGGGGCGAGGTCCCAGGGGCTGCGCCTCCCTCGTCACCACGGCCGGATTCCCCTCCTCGAGGTCCCAGTCAGATCGCCCCCCGGGAGATGTCCGGGCAGCAGCGGTGTCGGTGCCTTTGCGCCCCAGTCGGCTACGCTCAAGCGTGACCCTTGGCCGGAGGGACCTCCGGTGCGGGCCCGCAGGCCCCCCCCCCCACCCTGGCCCCCCCCCCAGCAGCAGCCTGCGCGCTCGGATCTGGCGCCCCCGCGGCCCCAGAAAGCCGCGCACCAGAGGTCACTCCTGCCGAGGGTTGCTCGTGCGTGTCGGCGGCCCAGGTGCACCCTGCACATGAGGGCCCTGCACGCCCCTGTGCTGACCGAGGCGATGGCTACGGGCCTCGGGGAGCTTTTCTGAGCCGGGTCGCAGTGCGCAGCAGCGCACAACCACATCAACGTGCTGAACTATTGTATGGATGAGAAGACCGCGAAGGGCGCGGAGGCTCTCTGCTCCAAGTTTGCTGGCGAGATTCGCGACGTCCTCGCATACCGCCGGTTCGCTCAGAGGGTCTGGGGGAACACCACCGCTGCTTCCAAGGGGGCGTCCGAGGTCCTGGTAGCGTTCCACAACCTGGTCACGATGTCTATCGGGAACGAGTGGTTTTCGTACCCCAAGAGCCTCTACTGCCACCGCGAGGTCCTCCTCCTCCTCCTCCTCCTCCTCCTCCTCCTCCGCCTCCTCCCTCCTCGCTCCTCCGATCTCTTCCTCTCTCCTCACATCCGCCCTCCCTCGCCGTCATCATCCCTCTGCTTCCTCCTGCCTCTCACTTCTCCCTCTCCCCATCGCCAGCGGCAAAATCCGCTCAAAATCTGTCCCCGACCCTCCCGTGGTCCATCCGGGCCGGCTTTGGAGCCGCGTCCAGGCGTGGCGACGAGATGTGCAGGGACGCCCAAAACTTTAGAATACGACGACGACGACGACGACGACGACGACGACGACGACGACGACGACGACGACGACGACGACGACGGTGTTCATCCTGGTGAGCTTTTCGAGCCGCGTCCGGCCGTGGCGACTAGTACCTCCAGGAACGTCCAAAAACTTCAGAAAAGGTGACGACGACGGGGTCAGCCTATCGAGCCGCGTCCAGCAGTTGCGACGAGTACCTCCAGAGACGCCCAAAATTTCAAGAAAGGGCGGCGACGACGACGACGACGACGACGACGATGGGATCTACCCTGGTCATCAGCCTATCGAGCCGCGTCCAGCAGTGGCGACGAGAACTTCCAGAAACGCCCAAAGACTTCAGAAAGGGTGATGATGACGACGACGACGACGACGACGACGACGACGACGACGACGACGACGACGACGACGACGACGACGACGACGACGACGACGACTACGGGGTGTATCTTGGTAAGCACTTCAAGTCGCGTCCAGCAGTGGCGACGAGTACCTCGAAGAAAGCCCAAAAACTTCAGAAAGGGTGACGACAACGACGACGACGACGACGACGACGACGACGACGACGACGACGACGACGACGACGACGACGACGGCGGCGGCGACGACGACGACGACGACGACGACGACGGGGTCCACCCTGGTCAGCTTTCGGAGCCGCGTCCGGCCGTTGCGACGAGATCTCCCAGGAACACCCTACAGACTTCAGAAAGGACAACAACGGCGGCGACGACTACGGCGGCGCCCCCACCGAAGCTCAGCCTTCGCCCTCCCTCAAAGGGACTTCCGATTGGCGAGAAAGAGTGGACGACGGCGGCGGCGGCGGCGACGACGCGAATCACGGCGACGACGACGACGATGGCGGTAGCGGCGGCGGCGGCGGCGGCGGCTGCAGCGTCGGTGGCGACAACGGCGGCGGCGACGGAAGCAACGGCGACGACGTCGACGGGCGACGACGCGGATGCTCCGCGGCACGCTGGCGGCGACGGCCACGCCTGCGGCGGTGGCAGCGGTGGCGTATTCGTGTCTATACGCCTCAATATATCTCCACCTCCTTCCCGTCCTGCAGCTACCTGCGTCCAGGACGGTTCTTGAGGCACCCACCCTCTCCACCCTGGGCATCAGATCCTTGGGAGTAATAACGATGCACCGCGGGCGTTCCCGTCTTCCACTCCACGTGTTGCAAAAAGACCATCATCGCTGTGCATAGCAAGTGCATGTGAACGAATCATCATTTAGAAGCCTCGTCAACCAGTATCAATGCGAGCATCGACTTCTTTTCGTCTGCATGGGCAATTGAGGCAGTGGTGGAGTAGCTGCTTTCGCTCCCAAATTTAGCAGTGCGAACATGGCATGCGAAACGGTTCCGATGTTCAAACCTAAGGTTCTAACTAAAGGAAAAGTTCAGAGAACAGCAGCGCGTTTCCGGTCTTGTCCATCTTGTTCTTCCCCTTGGCGTGTTCCCTTCCTTGTTCTTCCTCTTCGTCCCTCCAGTGTTCGACGTCTATGGCCAGACTTCGCGTGCAGTTGACGTCCCAGCTGGTGATGTGCTGCGACAGTGTTGTTGGGTCGTTTCTTCGGCCCGGGCGGCGCAGCGTTGACTTGCGCATCATCTGCATTCACCCCTCTCGGCTGGATTTGCGGATCTGCTTCGCGGTTTCTTTTCACTTGATTCGTGATCCGATCGGCGCGCGCGGGCGCGCGCGAGCTAGCAGGGCCTGCACCGAATCATGTGGATATCGCGTCGGGAAAAACAGAGTTCGCGAACATGCCATCAGAACTACGACACAGAAGCAGGACGTCACGAACTTCTCGAGATGATATAGCAGGCACAAGTGAACCTTGGCGCAGTGTTTGTTATAAACTCTGCGATTACGACGGGGATCCAAACACCGATTGCAACCCACTCGGATCGGCACACAAATCAGATGACATTATGTTGACTGTATTTTTGTTCCAAGTCCTCCGCAATTCTCGTGCAATCATGAGACTGTTGTCAATGTGGTTCATGGCGCGCAGGGGCCAGCCCTAGGGCGAATGAGGGAACATGCAGTCGCGGTGCTAAAGATGGAAGCACTCCGAGAAACGCTTCAGGGCGAGCAAGGCAGCACGCCCTTCATTTTCAAGTCTTTCGAACGTCAGCACCTGGTGCAGCGGTGCATCGGTGCCTGCGGCATGACAAGCATGACGATTGAAGAGTGATGGGGCTGTGTCGAGCGCCAGATGGCGGCGGCAGCTACGATGGCAGGCGACGCGAGGCCGATCACTCAAGTTCGCGACGATGTTGATGAAGGCTGCCCGCATGGCTCAGCGCGAAGTCGCCGGGGCTGTTGGGCACCAGAACTATCCATTGGCTCACCGGCTGCAGCTCGCGACTCCACCAGTCCGTAGCCATTTTGGCTCAAGGAGCTAGCCGTTCTGTCTCAAGCATTGCTCCTGAGCTTCCCGTCACCGACGTTTCAAAACGGCTGGGTGACGGCGGGCCTTCTTGGTTCGGCACTCGGCTGTTTTCCCACAACCAGCGAGATTTCGCCATGGCGGGGGAGACTCAGTCTTGGACGACGTATCGTGGCAGCTACGACCAGCCCAGCGTTTAGCATCAGCGCTGGAAATGTTCGCACCCCGACTGCGGCTGCGCCAAGAATCAGCATTGGTGCAAGCGGCGTAAGCACTGCGGTCGTTCTCGCGTGGATGATGAGGCTTCTGAGTGGCCGCGCATGCACGGGGCGCGGCAGAGAGGACCGCCGCGACTTCTAACAGGCTCAAGCAGCGCGACTCAGACGCCGAAAGACATCGCGCTCGAGGAGATCAATTCTCTTCTGGTCATTGCTGTCAAGTTCGGCGATAAGCAGGCGCGCAAGCAGCACGAAGACTAGAGCAAACAGAATGTCGCTGAATCCTGCTGCCAAGCCTCTGGAGCGCAAAGCGGCGGAGGCCCCCCAGGAAGTGCAGACCCACGAGAAGCGCCTCAGCAACGCTATCTCGAACGTCGAGAAGGCACGCGCGTGGCTTGCACTGCGCGAGGCCAAGCTTGCTGCCGCGCAGGCGGACCTCGCCGAGCGGGAGTACATGCGCAAGGAGTTGGTCCAAGAGTTGCACAAGTCTGTTCATCGCCCTGAGTCTCACGGCCCCCCCGCCGCCGCCGGCGGCATCAGCTTGCGGGGCACCGTCGCGGGCAATAAAGGAGGGCTGGTCCCGGTCGATGATGGCGAGCTTCTTGGCATCGACAACAGTCAGCACGAGCTTCCACAATCGGATCTTGGAGTTCGCCCGCAGGGGGGCCACGTTTCACGCGGGTTTCAAGGCCACTGACCGCGCCAGAGCAGATCAGCCCGCCCACGTCGAGCGTCTCACCAAGAAGCGCGCGGCTGGCATGCGCGGCGAGGAACCCGCCGACCCCGCTGGAGCCCCGATCCCGATTACGCCGCCCAGCGGAGGCAGTCAGGCCACGTCGGAGGAGCTGCAACGGAAAGGGGCCGGGCGCGGCGAGGGAGTGGCAGATGGGCCCGCGGCGGTCGCGGATCGGCCCCCCATGGGCGCGCGGGGCAGGGCCGAGGCCATGCTCGGAGCAGGCAAGGGCGCCAGCGAGGACACTGAGCCAGCTGATTCATCCATCTAGCCCCATCGCCTCCCTCGGCGAGCCCACCAGGGGATATGGGGTCGAGGGGCTCACCATCAGGACGTAACTGTAGTGGTGATCAGATTTCGCGCAGGCGGATGTTTCCCCGGCCATGGCCAGGCGACTTCCCCCCCCGCCCCTGGGGCCCCATCCCCTGCAGTTGGCGCAGGTCTCTGGGCCCCAGCTTGCTAGAGTACTGACGGTTTTGAGTTGGGGATAGAGACCGCAACTTCAACGGGCTGGGGGGCCGCGAATTCGTGGCTAAATCGGACATCAGCGCATGTGGTCTTCGTCCAGGAGCACCGCCTCGTCTCCTTCGATCAGGTCGGCGAGGTCTCACAGCGTGCCCTACGTGCGGGGTGGAAATCACGATTCCTCCCAGCTGCTCCAGGTGTGGGGCCCGGGTCGTCTGGTGGAGTTGCAATGCGTTAGAGATTTCCTGGGCTTGCGCGATCTTGGAGATGGCCCTCAGTTGGCTCCTAGTCGCATCGCGGCTTCGGTCATCCAGGTTCCAGGAGGTACGTCGCGTTTGGCGGCGTCCGCTTACCTCGGGGGCTCGGAGGGCCTCTCGGAGTACAACCTTAGTACGATCGCTGCTCCAGGGCCCTTGTTATCTCGGCACCGGGGCCCCTTCGTCGCGGGGGCCGATTTCCAGATGGGGCCCCAGGAGCTAGCCGCGAGTGATCTAGCGCAGCCTCTCGCGGCCAACGTCGCGTTTCCAGGCGCCCGGGGCGCTCGCGCTGGCACTGCGAAGGAGGGAGTTAGGAAGTTGAATTATTCCGTCGCGTCCAGCGGTCTGCCCCAGGCCATCAAGCTCGCGACTGTCAGGTATGAGGCGGCTACGAAGCCGCGCGAGCCAGAGGATCCAGTTCTTCAGACAGGCGATTTTTGGAGCCCGCGGGGAGCTTCCTAAGTTGGCGTGGACATCTGCGTTGGACAGAGATAAGCGTGTCTATCGGCAGCCTAAGCTATATGCGGCTCTGCAGGTCACTCGACAGGTGCCGGCATCGCTACCGCTCCTGGAGACGCTGCCTTTGAGTCCCCCCGCGCCAGTGGGCCTGGCCTACACGCAGCTAGCACAGGAGGAGGAGGAGAACAGGCTGGAGGGCTT